TGTTCTTTCATCTCCAATCTCCTGTTAAGTTCATCTAATAAGTTTACTTCGGATATTGTATTTTTTTAATTCTAGAATTTCCATTTTGTTCTTTTTCCTTAAATATATATTTTTTTCTGTACTGTGGTTTCCCATTGTTTATTCTTTAGGAGAATATTTTCCTTTAATTCTTTGAGATGTTGAAACTGCTTTGAAATTCTCATCTCTTAATTCTGATATCTGGTCATCTCAGAATTAGCCTTTATTGATTAAATTCTTTCCTGAATATGGATCTTGTGTTCTTATGTCTTCATACATCTAGAAGTTTGGATGGTGTCTTCAGCATTTCTAATGATACATTATAGACACTCTGGATTGGCTTATGTTCTTCTGAAGAGTACTGTTTTTTGAATTTGGTTTTGTTCTGCTTGGTAGTTCACTGGGCTGAAGTTGAACTCTGAGCTCTGTCTTCCCTGCATTTGGGGTCTTTGTTCACTTCTTTCAGCTGGACTGCTAGAAAGCCACCCCGCATGTGGGGCATGTGGGGTCGGGGTGAGAGGATGCCAGAGTTAGGGCCCCTCCGAGGCACTCTCCCACCTCAGGTCTCCACGTCCCCTGTCGCTTCTCAGCTGCTGCGGTTACCCCCATCTTTGGCCTCTGGGTCTTCATGCCTTCAAGTCTGTGATTTTTCTAAGTGTGGAAGCCACGCTAAAACATTTGTTCTGAGGCAAAACCAAAATAAAACAGATAACAAAAAATGAAAACGAGAACTATAAAAATGGTAAACTCTCTGTTTTGGGGGACCTTCAAGACCACCCCCAGTTTTAATGATTACCTAGGAGGACCCCCCCCCCCAGGACTCAGCACATAGTCTTCCTCATGACCATGATTTATTCTAGCAACGGGACACAGGGCACAGACAGCCGAGTGAAGGGCCCTGGGGTGGATCTGGAGGAAGCAAGGCGCACGGTTCTGGAGCGCCTCCCAGTGGACTCCCACAGGATGCGCTGTACACCCCCAGCAGCACATTATGAGAACACAAGTGAGATGGTGCCTACCAAGGAAACACAGGAGAGACTGACTCATGGAGGCATTCCTCTGTCTGGCACATGCCAAGGTGCCAGACTCCCAGAAGGAAGCATATGTTTGATATAAACCACGCTGCTTGAATAAATTGTTCAGGCACAGCGAGTCTTTCTTATCTGGGAATGGTGGGAATGCTCCTGAAATCCACATCTCTAGACCTCACCCAAGGGCCAGCCTTGCTTGTGAGCAGGCCTTTCTCAAGTCTGCGTTCCTATTTCTGCACGGCCCACTGCCTCGGCCAAGGCGTCTTCACAGGAGAAGTGCTAGCAGTATTGTTGTTCTGGGACCTCACCCAGCCGGGTGAGACCGGTCTGCATGCCTGCTGCCAGGTCTGCCCTTTATAGGCCCTGGCCAGAGCCCATTAAAACAGTACCATTCACCTTTTACCACCATGTCCAAGTGAGAAATCCCAGCTGCCAGACATGCTTTAGGCCCGGCAGCCCCTTTGAATCTCAGATGCCAATCACTGGCAGCAGGAGGGTTTCCTGCTGGACTGGAGAGCCTGCCGACAGTTGTGAGAAGCAGAGGTGCCCTCCTTCCTCTGCTCCTCCCCAGTGTTGTGCCACCAGGAGTCCTCACGTTGTCTTCTCAGACTTTCACCTGAAAGGGTTTTATGCAAGAAGCACAAAACATTTGGGGCGCCTGGGTGGCTCATTCGGTTGAGTGTCCGACTCTTGGTTTTGGCTCAGGTCATGAGATCGAGGGATCGAGGGACCTCAGGGTCATGAGATCGAGCCCCACGTCGGGCTCCGTGCTTGGCGGTGAGTCCTCTTGAGATTCTTTCTCTGCCTCTCCCCCCACCCCCGCTCATTCTTTCTCTTGCTCTCTCTCAAATAAATCTTAAAAAAAAAAAAAAGCACAAAGCATTTTTTACATGAAATTATTTTTTTCTTTAGAGAAAGAGAGAGTGTGTGTGGGGGGGGGGTTGGGGGAGAGGGGCAGAGGGAGAAGGAGAGAGAATCTTAAGCAGGCTCATGACCCTGAGATCATGACCTGAGCCGAAATCAAGAGTCAGGCTCTTAAGAGACTGAGCCACCCAGGTTCCCCATACAGGAAAATATTTTTATACAACTTAATCCTGAAGACACATCATGTTTAGGAATTGGTCAAGAGGAAATCTGAATCTTCAAACCGTTTCAGAATGGCTTTACATACCCCACCACTGCTTTTGTCCCCATCATTTATCTGGGGAATGGCCCACAAGAGATCGTGTACTTTCTGGGGTAGCGGCACTTACTAATCAAACTACCTTACTCTAAGGTGCATACAGGGGGGAGGTGAGGGAAGTGGGTTCAGGCTCGTGGTCCACTGTTGCAACCTGCAGCTGATCTGGAATGCCAACTCCAAGTTAACAGCAACCAGACACTCCCGAGACAGATGGGACTGTGGAGGGGTCACCAGGATGGGATGGGCCTCCCTCTTGCAGCTTTGGGCAGGGGTCACAAGTTGGTACCCCTCGCATCTTGATTTCATATGGCCCATCAGAGCATGGGCCCTTGATTGTGGGCAGCTCAGGTAAACTGGATGGCCCAGCCAGCATCCGGGTTGCTTTAATGGTTAATTTCCCTCCAGGGGGTGTGAATCCTTGCACCTGTTGCAGGTCCAGCTCTGTTTGTGAGCCTGTTCCTGCATTCGGCTTGGCGCTGATCGTGCCGTGCTTGGAACAGCCCTGGCAGACCACATAGGGCCCAGCCTGGAGTCAAGTGCAGGCATTTGGGGTCTGTGAGTCCGGGGTTCCAGGTGATGTGACTTCCAGGCGTGCTGTGAGAGCTGTGCGAAGACGCAGCATCAGCCCTGCTCCAGGGAGGGCTTGAGGGGACGGTGGAGATGCGGGGAGGGGCGCCTGTTTCTCAGGACACACTGGGAAGCCCGCCCTGTTCAGACATCAGCTTGGCCGTCCATCCACAGCTTTTACCTTGCTGTGCAGTGAGCTTGAGTCTGACGAGTTCTTGTGTGAGGGGCTAGTTTTCTCTTTTTCCATTAGTTTTTTTCAGTAGTCACTAGATTGTTGTATCAAACCTGCATTTGTATTACAGAATTTACCTTAAACTTAGAAGTCTCTTCTCACTTTCCAGTTGAGCGCCTTCAGTTATCTTCAGGTGTACGCGATGCCCATTGTTAATGTGTAGATTACTAATGAAACGGAAAAGGAATTCTAGTCTTCTTCAGAGGGCAGCAGACAGACTGGAAATGCGGGCAGCACATGGGCCAGGGCACTGTGGCTTCAGGGTCCTGAGTGAGGGCAGGCAGGCAGCAGCCCTGGTGAGGAGCATGGGGACACAGCGGGCTGGGGTTCTTTATCTCCTCGCGGATGTGGGTCTTGTTTAAATTTCAGGCCTGTAATGAGGACAGATTTCTTAAACTTCCTGTATAGCATTGTACTTGTCCAGCTTTCTGATAGCCAATTAAGAATATATTTTTTAAAAACAACTGAAATACCAAGAATTAAAAGACTTCTAATAGTTTACTCTGAAAGGCTCCAGTATACTCTCCATTCGTGGGTGTAACTCACCCACTTAGAATATTATTTGTGTCCACATGAATCAGTTTGAAAAATACGGGAGCATATTTAGATTATAACAAATTCAGTAGGTCACTCTACATCCACATGATCATTTGCATCCTCCCTGTGTGAACTCAGGTATGCTTCCTACCTGTGTGCTTTGGAGTTTTGTCTCCAAATGTCAGTTACACGCTGGTCACGCTGGGACATGTGGGATCACCACACAGAAGACATGGGAAGTCACTTGTCCGTGGGCTGTCTAGTAGGCAGTACAGTCAGAATCCCGTGTGGGTGTTGTGGTTAAAGTCCATACAGGCAAGGAACTTTTCGGTATTATAAATTCTTTGTGATCTCCTGGTAAAAATAATCATGCACCATTAAAAAAGTAAAATTTGTTATCAATACATTTTCACCTATTATAACATTATTTTAATAAAATTATATAGTTTTAAAAACTAAAATTTCTAAATCAGCAGATGTACTTTTATAAATTGTCTTTTTTTTTTTTTAAAGATTTTATTTATTTATTTGAGAGAGAGAGAATGAGAGAGAGAGCACATGAGAGTGGGGAGGGTCAGAGGGAGAAGCAGGCTCCCCGCCGAGCAGGGAGCCCGATGCGGGACTCGATCCTGTGACTCCGGGGTCATGACCTGAGCCGAAGGAAGTCGCTTAACCAACTGAGCCACCCAGGCGCCCTAAATTGTCTTAAAATAAGGTGCTTCAGTGTCATGTATGGAGACTTACTGTCTAAGCATTTACCTGTTGCCCGTGAATAGGGTAACCTAAACCACTTTTCTTCTACTTCAAAGCTAGTTCTGGGAAAGTTGTTGTGATGTGTGAATAGTTAAAGCCTTCCCATACAATTTTATAAATATAGATCATGGGGATGTGCTTCAGGCACATGGGAGAAATGCAGTATGTTTTAGAGCGTCAAGGAAGTCAGTTGTTTATGGCAAATGCAGTAGCTGTTAGAAGAAAAACATGGAAGTAAATTTAGGAATTTGCTAATTGTTTTATAGAACTTATGCGGAATTGTGAGGATTACTTAAATCCCACTAAATTCTTGGGTACCCGTGTAACTTCTGAATACTCATACACAGTATGGCAGAACTCCACGAAGTGTATTTCCACCTTTAAACTTGGAATCTGGGACAGCCCCAGGCAACATGAGGCTTTTGAGCAGCTCCCAGGTGCACCTATTGTTAAGCAGCAGTCTGTTAGAACCAAGAGAAATTGCCACACCTCTGTTGAGCTTAAAAATTACTTCCCTTAGTTCTCCTCCATCCTAACATAGTGTTGGCACACAAAATATGGGAAAACCAACCATCACTCTTGGTAAATAACATACGAAAAATATTAGTTGGTGATTGAAAAATTTCCAAGTAATTTTGTCTAATTATAATGTAATTAATTCAGATATTCTGTATTCCAGGACCTTTTTTCAATCAGTGCTTATGTTTATGCTCAGAAGCCACAACTGGATATTCATAGCTTTGAAGGCACATTTACCAGGGTAAGTTAAATTTTTGTTAAATACAAATATATTCATTGTGTATATAAGTTAAAAACAGCAAACCTTAAATTTGAATAAATGAAAACAAGCTTTGAACGGAAAAGGGAAAGCCTAGAGAATGTTTCAGGTTCTTAAATTTTCCCACAGTCTCTGTGGGATACACTCAGTACAGTGTTTTTGTTTAGCATATTCACCCTGGAGAAGGTCCTTCTCCCTGAAAATACTAGGAGTCAGTAAGATGGAGTACTTTCACTAGTTCAGTGTGAGTTTGGATAGGATTTAATACACTGTGGCGTCCACAGTGTTTCCTGGTTCGTACTGACTGGATGGCTGTGCCTCTGCTCATGTACACGTGTGTGCTTCATCTGATTCTTCGCACGATCATGGGACTTGAAGTCCCTTCTCCCCGATGACTCCCCGATCAGATTTGGAGGACTCAGTAACTTTAGATTTTAACAGCTGATATTATAAATGCTTTATAATACTTAAGGGGTTTTTGGGGGCACCCGGGTGGCTCAGTCGGTTGAGCATCTGCCTTTGGCTCAGGTCATCATCCTGGGGTCCTGGGATCGAGCCCCACGTCAGGCTCCCTGCTCCACGGGAAGCCTGCTTCCCTCTCTCGCTGTGTCTCTCCCTGTCAAATAAGTAAATAAAATCTTAAAAAAAAAAAAAAAGAAGGGCGCCTGGGTGGCTTAGTCGTTACGCGTCTGCCTTCGGCTCAGGTCATCATCCCGGGGTCCTGGGATCGGGCCCTGCGTTGGGCTCCCTGCTCCGCGGGAAGCCTGCTTCTCCCTCTCCCACCCCCCCACCCCCGCTTGTGTTCCCTCTCTCGCTCTCTCTCTCTCTCTGTCAAATAAATAAATAAAATCTTAAAAAAAAATATATATATATATATATAATACTTAAGGGGTTTTAGTATTATAGTTTACTTTTAACTGTGCAGATTTCTGTTGGTATAGTCTGCTTCGTTTCCCTCTTATTCACGTACCAGGATTAGTGAGCTGTTGTCATCATTTGAGAAAGCACTTGCTAATGCCAGATAATGAGGAAATTATGGGGATGTAAAAATGAGGATGCCTGTGGAGGAGATAGTCATTGGCCATTGCTCTGTAACTTTATTTTTACGAGTGCTTCAGTAACAGTATGTTCAGGGTGTTCATGGAAACAGATGAGGGAGACGAGGCAGTGTATAATGAGGTCTGGAGAGAAAACCAAGATCTTTATGTGTTTTTGTAAAAATATTTATGAAAAAAGCATCTTCTAATTAAAGACAATTTAGCATATTTGAGAAAAAGCTTTTCCAAAGGGCTTCCTTAGTACAGTAAGAGTTATTAACTTAGGGGGCTCCTGGGGGGCTCAGTCAGTTGAGTGTCTGCTTTTGGCTCAGGCTGTGATCCCAGGGTCCTGGGATTGAGCCTCACATCAGGCTCCCTGCTCAGCTTCTCCTTCTGCCTCTGCCACTCCCCCTGCTTGTACGCTCTCAAATCTTTCTTCTGTCCAAAAAATGGATAAAATCTTAAAAAAAAAAAAGTTATTAACTTAGCCACTATTAATATCTTGGAATATTATTTGCTTACTTCCTTTCTGTTTCACAGATTTATATTGCTTACCACTTGCTAAGAGTTGGAAATGTCTGCTAGACAATGTGTGGAATCCCCCTGAAGTCAGTGCGAGGGCGCAAGGGTTTGGCTGAACACAGCCAGGCTGCAAAAGCGCAGTTCACACAGTGCGTGCCTGAGCATGGGACAGTACGTGACCTGTGTGCGTGGCCGAGCGTGTGAGACTGTATGTGAGTGAGCGTGCAGGTGTGGGGGAGGGGTAGCCAGGCTCCTTCCTGAAGGTCTCGTCAGAAGAAGGAAGAAGCCATTTAAGGATTTTCAGCTTAGAAGAGAGATTGTAATATTGGTGTATGTAAAAGAGTCCTCTAGACTTCCGGTTTGCTTGGGATGAAGGCAGTCACCTGAATTTGCTCCCGTCCCCACTGCGTCCCCAAACCGTACAGGTCAGGTGCAGGTAGCTCGGGCCGCCTGTAGCTCGTGCACGCAGCACACAGGGGAGAAGGAAAACACTGAGCTCCGGTTTCTGTAGTGAGGAAAAGTACCCCACATGGCACAGTCAGCTCCAGAGCCAGGAGAGGGCACACGGATTTTCTCTCGGGATTTGGATCTGATGGAGGCTTTGGAGTTCTCTGAACTTACATGTATCTCGTGTGAGTTACTGCACGTTCTTGATGGGAACAGTCCAGCTACCTGGCCTTTTGTGGCCTCCATTTGGTGTTTCTAACAAGATTTTATTTCACTCCTTTTAAATACATTCATAGTGAATTCTGGATTATTTTAGGAGAAAAAGCTTTATTATTTGTGTACGTCTTTCAAAAGGGAGGAAAGGAAAAACCATGCTAAATAACTGGTTTTCTAACTAGAAAGTGGAAATCATCAGTATTAAGTGAGCATTTAAAGAAGTGACATCTGCATATATTCCTTTTCTAGAGTATGAACTAGAAAGGAGAGCATACATATTGTATATCAGCCTAAGTAATTAAATAAGAATCAGAGCAAATTAATTCAGGTGTCCTGTGGCAATACATGTATTATGTATTCTGTTGCCTGAGCAGCGTCTAATTATGCACATTGTGAATAATGTCTGCTTCTGCTTACCCTATAATGTAAGGATAACCTCAGCTGCTCATTATATGACATTCCGAGTAATATAAATGATTCATATTATTATTATTGATAGAATTGATTTGCTTATTGTTCAGGACCTAGCAATTCTCCCTGAGGTTTAGAGTTTAAAACTAGCCACTTTGAAATATTATCAGTATTCCTAGGTCTTTAACATCGCCTTCCCATTTAATGTTCTTTATATGCACTTTCTGCTGTCATTTCTTCTGCAAACCATAGCACACTCATCATTGTTCAGGTCTTTTCCGATCAAAATACTCCCTTTCTAAAAAGCATATCTCTGTTGTTTGTTAAGAGGGGTGCACTATTGTGAAAACAGCTTCACATGGTGACATTTTGCTTTCTCCCTCCCCAGAGCAGATTTCATCTTTGCAAACTGTGTAACATTAAGGAGAAGGAAACCCAGAGACAAAGTTACTTAGAGATAATTGCTTTCCCATCTTCCCAATCTTTATTCTGTACTATATGAGATTGGTAAAGAGCTATCTTTTACAATAATTTTCTTAATATTAGAAAAAGTTTAGTGTTTAAAGTCCATCATTGTTATTACAGAATTGAAAAGAAACTGCATAGATACTGTATGTTCTTCAATACATAATTGTGCTAGAAATAGACAAAATGAATTCACATGATTAAATAGTTGTAGAAAAGTAATGGGAGAACCAACTTAAGTTTCTAAAATGAAATTGTATTGAACCTTTTATTTGCAGTTTAGAAAGCCTTATAATAATAGAAAGACTTATAAAGTTTACTATTTTAAAATATTTATTTTACAGAATGAGTGAGAGAGAGAGAGCACAAGCGGGGTGGTGGGGGGAAGAGCAGAAGGAGAGGGAAAGAACCTCAAGCAGACTCCCTGCTGAGTGCAGAGCCTGACACAGGGCTTGATCTCACGGCTCTGAGATCATGACCTGAGCTGAAATCAAGAGTCGGATGCTTAATCGACTGGGCCACCCAGCTGCCCCATGTATATTTTTTAATGCCTTATATTCTTGGAGTTTGACAGTGGGAAAATGTCGTACTAAAGGATATGCGTGCATTAATGTTTAGATGTCCATATGTAGGGACCCCTAGGAAGAGTTTCAAACTCATAAAATTGTACTTATTTGTACTTTTGTGGTCACTTGATGATGGGCAGCTACAGGCAGGTTGGCCTAAGGGAGTGCTTCAGCTTAGAATAACAGCCGACTGCTGGCTTCCCACGGAGTGCAAAGATAAGGGGCGCTGGAAAGTAGAGGGGGAGCTCCACGTGTTTCTACTCTTTGATTTCTTCAGTTACTGGGCCAATATGGGTGCCAACTCTGTGCTTGGTGCTCAGAAGATCCAGGTCAACACCATAGTTACATAGCTCACAGTCTGGGTCGGGGGGGGAGAAGCATGGAAATTGCCACGATACATGAAAATAACTCAGAGTTCACATTAGAGAATCATTTTATTTGTTTCGTACTTTAAATGATAAGTGTGTGAGTCAACAACTGGCAGGTTTTATCCAAATTATATACTACTCCGTTTGCTAGGTTGTGGCTGTAACTCCTAGATGAACATATAATTGAAAGGTAAGCCATGTGGACCATATTTGGGAAATGGGAGTGAGTCTGCATAGGTTGTTCTCTGTCCAACAGTGTCTGTCAGGGTTGGATTCTAAGACCATCTCTCAGTGGATCAGAAATTAGACATTTTAGTTCAGCTGTAAATAAATTCAAGTACAAAACAGTTGATGCAGAGAGGCCACATACTTCTCTTTTGAATGTTGATGCTTTGTTCTGTAAAATCATAAAAGTCAAAGGGAAACTCCGTTTTCTTGGAGCATTTATTTCTCGGGTGATTGTTACCTCTGCTTTGAACAGCTGCTTGGTTAAAACAGAGGGACCAAGCGGCAGCTCCCTTGCCTGGCATTTTCCCGTGGAGGAATCGACCCTCAAGCGCAGCACTTGCATACCGTCCTGTGTGGTTAAGACACTCATGACGGTACACCGGCTGCCGTGCGGGGCTCCGTCGGAGGCCGGCTGTGTTTGAACGTCTGTGAGCCTGTGGTCACCATTGCTGTGAAGCTGTATAAACTGAAGTGGTTACCAGTGCTCCAGAGTGTGACAGTCTCCTTGTGACAGAAACACTAGCGTTACTCTTCTGACTCTTCAAGTTGTTTCCCAGAAACACATTTTTAGTGGGATAGTGGGAGCCTAATGTTTTTTCTTCTTAAAGAATACTCTTCCATAGTATTTTGTGTATTGATGCCGTTACGTAATTATCAGTAGGTTTTTCCAGCTACACCTACTAAATGCAGCAAAGTGTAGAACAGATTTTATTGGACAAACT